ATGATGGTGGAACATCTTTCTACATCTGATGGTGGAACATCTTTCTACAGCTGATGGTGGAACATCTTTCTACATCTGATGAGCAGAGCAGAGAGGAAAAGTCTGTAGAAACTGTAGAAATGCAAACAGTGAACTATCTACAGGATGTGGAGACAACATTTTTTTTTCCAGTGCTCCAAGCTGTGGACAGAGAAGACATCTCTGAGTTCTCTCTCCTTCTTCATGGTTGTTCTGTTTCCATAGAGGTTCAGGACTTTATGTTGCAGCGAGAAATGAAACCACGGTGCAGAAAAATGAGCAAAAACCTGTTTGATCTTCATCCATTATGTTCTCTACCTGCAGGAGCAGCAGCGCCAGTCTTTCACAAGCGGTGCTGGACGGAGTTTCTTCTCTCGGCGGCCACAGCAAAGGTAGATTTCATTTTGAAGAAACATCCTCGTAATCAAAGTGTTTGTTTGTTAGTTAATTTCCGTGTATTTCTGATTCTGTCCGTCAGACTATGGCTTGGTGACCACCCCACAGCTCCACTACATGGTTTGCTGCCAGAACACGCAGGGTAAATACGGAGACGCCACAGTGGACGGATACTACAGGAAGCTGAGCCAAGCTTTCATCCAGCTCACCAAGAGCGTAAGAAAACATGCCGTCGTCCACGTCGTGTCGTGCTTGTGTGTTATGCATCCGTTCACGTTTTCCTCTCCGGCAGGCGTCGAACCGCACCGACGACCAGAAGCACCTCATCGTGGACGGCGCCAACGGCATCGGGGCCCTGAAGGTGCGCGAGATGGAGGCTCACCTGAAGAAGGAGCTGCAGATCTCCCTCTTCAACGACGGCAAAGGGAAGCTGAACCACCAGTGTGGAGCCGACTTCGTCAAAGTGCAGCAGAAACCTCCAACAGGTGCGACTCCGCTCTCTGGACGTGCTCGTTTTCAGACTTTAAACGGGTTTGAACACATTGCACTGGATTTTTGTACATTTTAGATTCATTTTAATGAAAAAAAAACCCAACAACAACAGAAACTGATTTAAATGTGGCTGCCATCCCCGTTGAAGTGTTCTCCTTGTGCAGTGATGCTCTGCTCCCAGTGCTCCTGCAACAGGTTGTGGAAGCCCTGTTCTAAATATGTCCAGCAGCATTTGTGATGAATCTCCTTTTATCGTGTTTTAACGTGAGCTTTGCATGCTTTGGATTTTGCTTTTTCTACTTTTAATTTAGCTTGTTGAGCGCTTGGTTCCCATTTCTTCACCTTTATTCCTATATTTCCTGTGATGTTTGCTCTGTGAACCGCCTTTTTTTAAAATTAGTAGTGTAGAAATCAAGATATTATCATATTTTGTAGCAAGACTTGAGGTTGTGATGCTTCTCAGACGTGTGGAGCAAAGATCAGACAAAGTAGGTCAAAAGAAAACAACGATTTCTGCTAATTAAGCTTTATAATGAGATAAAACAGTGCAAGATGGAGAGTGTTAAACAGCAAACGTCTAGTATACAGACTGATATTTTCTATATATTTTTTGTATTTGCATTTTGTTGACGTTTGCATCCGGCCTAACGAGGCCGCCGGTGTTGCAGAGTGCAGCCTCGTCACCTCAGTGCTGTTGATGTTGCTGTAATCTGAGTCTGTGTCCTGTGTGAGGAAGAGAAAATTAGATTTTGTTTTTAATTTCCCTCCTGCATCTCTGTCCTCCCTGTCTGAAGGCGTTGAGATGAGCCCGGGAGAGCCCTGCTGCTCCTTTGACGGCGATGCCGACCGAATAGTTTATTACTACAGCGACTCCGAGGGACAGTTTCACCTGCTGGATGGAGACAAGATCGCTACGCTCATCAGCACTTTCCTGAAAGAGCTGCTCACACAGGTAGACTCTTCAATACAGAGCAGAACAAATATCCTTCAAGGCTCCTATTAAGTTTTTTTCTTTTTTTTTAAACCCTCTGAACTCTAAGCAGTTTCTGGGCGTTCTTTCATTACTGTAGGTTAAGTCTTCATTACAACATAAAGTCCTGCACCTCTGATGGAACCAGAACAACCAAGACTAGAAGGAGAGGGAACTCAGAAATGTCTTCTGCGCAGAATAAAACTACAGTTTGTTTCTTTCTGAATTCAACATGTTCAACATTTTTGCAGTTGTCCACAAAAAAAATGACATTTTCACAGCCTCTACAGCTTCTGCATTTTTTCCTCTCTGCTCTGCTCATCATCTGTAGAAAGATGTTCCACCATCAGATGTAGAAAGATGTTCCACCATCAG